ATTTTCAATTGCTAGACGAACATTCCATATGATAACGTCACCCGAGATTCCCAATTCCTCGTTGAAAACATTTACATGGGAAGAACTATCAAAGCATAACACTCCCGATGATGCATATGTAGCAGTCAGAGGCAGTGTATACGATATCACGAACTTCATCAATCGACACCCCGGAGGAGAAGATGTTCTCCTCATGGTTGCTGGGAAAGATGCAACTCAGGTATGAAAAATAATAGCGATGATTTCGAAGGAAAAATGTATTTTTCGCTTTTGTCAAAATAGAGGTTATTGTGGTGCTAAGTTTATTGAAAAGCCATTTCGGATTTTTGGTAGATTTTTGAGACTTATCATGAACTCGGGAAAGTAGATCTCACTTTGAAGTAAGATCAGAATCCGTTTCTATGATTAGTCATATATTTTTTGTTGAGTTTGTGATAATCAGTTATCCCAACATATTTAAACACAATAGGAAATATTATATCGGAGCTCTGATAAGCAATGAATTACCAGTTTTCCCTGACCAAGGCGACTTTCATAAAACTGTCAAGAAGGTATTATAATATAACGAAGGAAGGAGAGAAGAGAAAACTATAGTATTTTAGTAACATCATTGCCAACTATTCTTCTTACATTACAGCGCGTGGAAGACTATTTCCACAAGAATCAGCTTGATCCAAAGGTATTTCGTTTATTAGCACTCCGCGCATCATATTCCTATCGTCCACTCACCGTTACTAACTCGCATTCCATGTGATGTGATAATTCTTCCCCGCTTTATACTCTATGAAGAACACTCCATTCGTCTGGATTCGTTATGCCTGGATATACGGTTTACTGATTGGTTCATACTATGCTCAATACTATGTTCCATTCATAAGCGACCAAATATCACTCCAAGTGCTGTTGGCTATTGCATTAGGATTCGCATGTGCGCAGGTGGGATTGAATCCGCTTCACGATGCATCACACTTTGCAGGTGAAATTTTTTGGTATATTGATTCTTGATAGTTGATTGAAAAATAAGACATTATGTATGAACCAAAGATTTTATTTTTCTGCTAGTTACTCACAATCCATGGGTATGGAAATTACTTGGCGCAACTCACGATTTTTTAAACGGGTCATCATTTCTCGTATGGGAATACCAGCATTTTATTGGACATCATGTATATACAAACATTGCAGGTAGATCAATTTATTATTACCTATTAATATCACCACGTCATGAATTTAACTTGCCCGGATTCTATCATATATGAACAGACGCAGATCCAGACATTGTAACCGGTAATTATTATCAACATTTTATAGAAGGGTGTCATTCTCGCGAACTATTTCACTCTTATGCTCAACTTCGCTCCTCATTTGCTATTTATTACCTAGGGGATCCTGATATTCGAAGAATAAAACCAAGCCAACGCTGGTTCTTCCATTATGTGAATCAGCATATTTTTATCCCCTTAATCTACGGATTGCTCGCATTCAAAGTACGCATACAGGATATCTTGATCTTGTATGTGTATAAAAGCAATGATAGAATCAGAGTTAATCGATTGACGTCTTGGCATACATTTGCGTTTTGGGGCGGGAAGGTGAGATTTAAATGACGAGCGCCAGAAGTAATGCTTGTTAAAATGTTACATTCACTTGGTTAATGTTTGTTCTTGTCACTTTGTATGTATAGGCATTCTTCATACTATATCGTATATTGGTGCCAATGCTATTCCATTCAGCATGGAAGGTCTTGACTTTACTCGTTATTGCTGATTTCACCGCATCTTACTGGCTAGCGTGTTCCTTCCAGGCAAATCATGTTGTCGATGAAGTTGAATGGTAATGTTTGTTGCTTTTTTTGTTTTTGTTTTTTTTCATTCAAGCAAGCAAACCTTTATTACAATAGTATAGAGACATTATTCACATCATTTCATATAACACTTCTTCTTAATGCGTAGGCCTCTACCAGATGCCTCTGGCGTAGTGCAAAAAGATTGGGCAGAAATGCAAGTAATAACAACCCAGGATTACGCTCACGATTCCGCTTTCTGGACATCAATCGTTGGATCTCTCAATTTCCAGGCTGTACATCATCTGTTTCCGCAAATTTCACAGCACCATTATTATCTCATTGCTCCTATTGTCAAAGAGACCTGTGCGGAGTATGGAATTAGGTACTACTACAAGGTAAGTTGGATTACTAAGATTTTGTATTTGAGCTATACTGGAAAATCTAGAGTATAATATTCTGCCAACTCTGTAGGATACATTCTGGGAAGCATTTGGATCCCATATCGAGCATTTGCGCAAGATGGGGCAGCCACCAAACAAGTTGGATTAGATCCTATATGTACTATTGATTATTACGCATGTAGTAAATGTATCATAGATTTGTATATTGTCATTAGCATTATTGTTATTCTTACCATTCAATCAATAAAATAAATAACAAGTGGACAATATTCACATTTATCAACAATTCCAAAGAACGTAAGGTAATTGCATTCATAGCCCCATTTTGCAACTTTAGGTTTAAGACCTTCATCTGAGTAATATCGGGGTGAAATAACATACAAAAATTTAATTTTCCAAACGTTTGAAAGTGCAAGTTGTTTACCGAAAAGTTGTCTAATTTTAAGTGTAGCTGGTGCTGCTAAAAGCCTAAAGCTTTCTTTTTCAAAATTAAAGTAAATGTTACTAGTTATCATAATTTAATCAGATCGACACGTTATATTTATTAAGAAAACAAAATGCTAAAATATTAAAATGAGCTCATTCCAAAGGAAAAGTCGCCACTAACAAATCTTTAAGAAACACGCTACTTTTATCTATACACAGACCTTCGAATAGTCATAAGTGAAAATTATCCCTCCATTACTTTTCGGGGGGCTGTACAGTACTCTTAAGAAAATTTCATCCTGTTACAGGTTGTGGATCTAGTATATTTAATGGGTTTCTCTCACTTTTCAAGGCATGGTACTACCAAACATGCTGTCACACTGTTGGTATGGATCCACTTCTCTCACAATTGTGCACGCTGGCACTTTGCATTTTGCAAAGCGAAGAGTTTCAAATAAGATATGACGGTTTCTTTTCCAATAAGGCCAACGTAATCAACTTACTATTACATAGCGCAGGTCTATTCCATGCTTTCGCTTTATTCATAAATACAAGTGCTTGCTAAAGCTGAATTTATGATAATATATACTATGTCTCGAAAAAATGGGGGTTTGTTAAATAACTTTTTTTTTTGACTCGTGAATAAAAACGCGTTTGTTTACAAAGCAAAAACAATCATTTATGGCTATTAACCTTTAATTGAGTGTGTTAATCAGCATTAGAAGTGAGTTTAATTACAAAATGAAGATAACAGCATTTAATGTGTAGAATTACAATCAGTTTACTGAAAGTGTACGTGGTATTAGTATTAGTTCCGAACACACAGTTAAAAATACGTTTAGTTGTGAAATAATTGTGTCGAAAAATTTTATGACTATTATTTGACTTTATTATTCATGCAGTACATACTTTTTATTCTTTCAAAATGTCCACTGTGCTCATTCTACTGCGGAATGGCTCAATGCCTATCAAACATGCGCTAAATAATATTTTGTTTGAATATTTCCCTACCTTTACTGATGCCTTGACTGGCAAGAGGAGACTTCTACGCTAATCCGAAAACAAAAAACGAGATAACCTTTCTAAATACATATGATATTATAAATTAACAAATCGGTTGTTTGTTTTTTTGTAAAAGTTTTAATGTGGACATGGATTACTTGAACAATTTTACTTTGTAAATGTTAGGGTAATTACAGACTTGTTAGAAAAAAAAATATGAGATTTGTTACAATTTATAGATAAAATGCTTTTCTTGCCAAGACTTCTCTCATCAAAATATTGGAAGCTCCACGAAGATCAACGAATCGAATTCAGTGTTCGACGATGTTGTGTTTGGCGTTTTAGAAACTAAATTTATTCACTGCGTTCTCATTGGGTAGTTTCTGTCAAAGAAAAGAAAATTGTTGTCATCAATGGCTAGATGTGCTGTAAACAACCACCTTTGAGAATTATAGAAAGTAGAATAATTCGGTATTACTTTTAGAAAATATTAATTTACTTTTACCATGTGGAAAAAAAATGGTTAAAGAAAAGGATATTTATTATCGGGAATATTTTGATCTAGCAAACTGATTTTACAAAAAAACATTGCATTACATTTACTGCTTATAGGTATCGGAGACGGTGAATTAATATGGCTTATCACAACAGCAGCCGACGTCGAAGCATAGTGTTACATAAAAGTTGGGAGATCGCTTTGACAGGTTTGAATGCGGATCCTTGTTACATATGCTTTTCAGCGTTGATGAGACATTCTTTATACCAATATGGCGAGATCGACACACGCGTGTCATGTAGGAGATTATTGTATTAACATCACATGATATTATGCACAAATATCATGTGACAATTTAAATTCATTTCTTGGCAATTAAAACAATGATGACAAAAATCAGCGAGCGCTATTTTCATCCAAAACCTGGATAATTCGGATGTAAAACGCTCCAGACAACTATGCACAACCACAAACTATGTTATTATACAAATTTGCGTTTTTAGAACACAAAGATTTTCACGCAACACAATGCACGCCTTGATAGGGAGTGTTCAGGGAAGCCCATTTAATAATATCACTATGCTGTGTAGTGTAACGCCCTATTATCGAACACCCGCCTTTATCAGGTATTTATTGGGTTTCAATTATCCTTTAAAAATAAGTTATCAACCGCCCGCAAATCTCGGCGCTTCTAATTATTGTTTCCACTTTCCACCCTTTACTCTTTTATTTTATTACGACGCTCAACTTTTTTGAAGTAATAATATCAATTGCTCGGCAGGCCGAGGAATAAGGGGGAAAATATTAAGCATTGACATTAATATTAAACATAATATAAGTGTTCAACACAGAAACATTTATATTTGCTCTCACTTGTCTATCAGAGAGTATGTCCACTCGAGAAGATTATACAGAGGATGTCGTCTTAAGCAGGCAAGGTTCGAGGAAGTTGAATGGATTGGCGAGAGGAGATTCAGTAAAGAGGCTACCGCAGCTTGGGAGACTGGGTAATCGCGAAAAGGGTAGCGCTGCTGCCAACGGGAATTTGCAACCAAATACGCCATATGAGAAGCTTCGAGCTTGGATGATTAACGAGGGTAAGTATTAACAAGAAAGGTGAGACGTGATGACTTAGAAACAGTGGGCATGCGAGAGCAATGTAGTAGGGGCAATGGAAGTGGAAAAGGAAAGACGAGACACTAAAAAAAGAAACGAATTATTCATTCTTTCTTTTTTTTTTGTTTGTTTGATCTCTTTTTTCATACACACTAGGTAACCGAGTAATATTTTTCAGCGTCTGGATAATCCTCCATGCACTAGTCTTTTCGCTAGCCTTTGTCAATTTCTATTACAATGACAACTTAAATACTGCTCGCACGACGTTTGGCATAACTTACCCAATTGCTCGTGCAGCTGCATTAGTTCTTCACGTCGACGCGGCAATGATACTATTCCCAGTCTGTCGTAATCTGATCTCTCTTTTCCGTACGACGTCGTTGAACAATGTTATTCCATTCGACCAAAACATACGGTTTCATAAGCACATAGGATTCTCAATATTTGTATTTACCTGGATACACACCATTGCACACTGGGTCAATTTTGCACGGGTGGCTACGAAACTGAACGGCGGTTTCGTGTTATGGTTGAAATTGAATTTCGCCACTGGACCTGGTTTAACTGGATACGTTATGCTTATATGTCTGATGATTATGGTTTTTACTTCTATAGAAAAGCAAAGACAACGTCATTATAATAGATTCTGGTATCTACATCACTTGTTCATTCCTTTCTTTGCTTGCTGGGCTTTCCATGGAGCATTTTGCATGATTCCGACGGATAGGGCGCCTAAATGTAAAGACATAGCCGTGTTCTGGAAATACTGGATTGCATCAGGAGTGATTTATATTAGTGAAAGAATACTCAGAGAAGTCCGAGGACATCAACCGACTCATATTTCAAAAGTTATCATGCATCCATCGAAAGTAGTCGAAATTCAAATCAGGAAACCTCACATGGTTACAAAAGCTGGTCAATACATCTTCCTCGCTTGTCCCGATATATCTTTATTCGAATGGCATCCGTTCACTTTGACGTCTGCACCTGAAGAGGATTATCTCTCGGTGCACATTAGAGTAGTTGGTGATTTTACCAATGAATTGGCTAAGAGGTTGGGCTGTAATTTCGACGAAGAGAAGAGGCGCAGAAGTGAGGTCCGGAGTACGGCGTCGGGGGTCGAGATATCCATGACTCCAGACTTGAAAAACTCGTTGCCAAGAGTGATGATAGATGGGTCATATGGAAGTGCATCAGAGGATGTGTTTAAGTTTGAGGTCGCCATGCTTGTTGGGGCTGGTATCGGTGTTACACCTTTTGCGAGTATTCTGAAGAGTATTTGGTGAGTTGTTGTCATTTGGCAAGTGTGGTGAGATGAGTTGATCATGACTATAGATTGCATTCTTTATTAAGCACGCACACGTTGAAAACTATACGTGTATTGGTCATTGGCGGCCGGGCTATCGAGTTTTAAACCATTATCTTAAATCTAACTATACTTTCTTTGCTGCACATTAAAGGTATCGCGTTAATTATCCAACCAAATCGACAAAACTCCGCAAAGCCTATTTCCTCTGGATCTGCCGTGATTATAAGGTACGATGTGCAAAATGCCAGTTTTTTAAATCGGGTTATCGCAACTGTTTTTTCTAGACAAAAACTTGCACATTCGTCAGTATTTATAACATAATCATAACAGATAAATTTACACTTTTGTATTTTAGGCGTTTGAATGGTTCCGGTCCCTTCTGGCAGCAATAGAAGAGCAAGACTTTGATAACTTCATCGAAGTTCAGATCTATCTCACGGGCGGTCTTAACGCGGATGAAATTGACAACATCATGGTTAACGATGACGGAACTACCATGGATGCTCTCACTGGTCTTCGCTCGCCAACGCATTATGGAAGACCAATTTGGGACAAGATCTTCCAGAACATGAGAGATTTATACCCGGCTACTGATGTCGGTGTGTTTTTCTGCGGACCGAAGCCACTCGGCAAGCAGCTACACACCAAATGCAATTTATGGAGTCAAGGGTTTGAGGATGGGACCAGGTTTTTCTATGGAAAAGGTAAGCTAATGCATGGGCGTTTAGTACAATTAGCCAATAACTATGAGATCATTATAACTAACTAATTTCTTTCGTTTTGATTTTGTAGAGAACTTTTAATAATAATAATGTTATATCTGTTCATAGAGAATATCTGTTGTAAAATATATCTATGACGTGTAAACCAATAAAAAAACTTAATTGAATTCATTTAATTATTATGCTGAGACTAACCATAAATAATCGCCCCTTTGACTTATCTGCAAGGATATACATAGTGCACAGAAGCGTTTAAAATGCATGTACAACGTACGTCAAAGTTTCAGATTTTGTAACATCCTACAATAGTGATGATTGGCGATATTTATTATAACGTAATTAACTGGCGAACTTTAAATCGTTTAAGAAATAAATTTCTAAAGCTAGACTCAGATACGAGACGTTGACCGATACATGTTACAGGAAGTAACTATTCCCCGACATGATGAAACTACAGAGAAGCGGTCATGAAACAATGCTTAAGCGTACTCTTTATTGGTGAGGCTACTCACAACTTTACATACCAATACGGAGCGAGCTTTCCGCAAATTTCTGCAGTCTCGCGTCGCCGAATGTTTTCCGAACGTAAATTCTAGATTCGACTCATGGTAGAATATGATTCTATTATGAAATTCAGTATGATTGAATGAATTTATTCGAAGCTAAATACATGGAAGTTGTTAGTAATAGTAAGCCTTGCTCTTGGATTACCAAAAAGCCACTCGATTACCTCCAGATAACGAAGCAAGACTAATTCTGCCTCGCGTAAGTTATGCTGAGAGTATTCATAACCAAAAGTGCGTCAATTGATTCTATTCTAGAAAAGTACGATGTCTTAGCTTTGGCCGCCGACAGAAATATGCTACACCGAGAGTCAATGCTCTGAGGTAGCATAGTACAGAGTAAAAGATGAAAGCAAACTATTGCTGACATAGTGTCTTTATAGTAGGAGCGCAAAACTGTCGTAATTACTAAATAAATTCACGGAGCACACCATAAAAGTGATGGCGAGAAGAATTTTCGATACAAGGTAGTTAGGGGTAATTTGGCGAATTATTATAACTTGTCGATAATGCACTATAATGGAGTCGATAAGGATAAAAAACAAGAAGATTTATGATCATTACAATCATCCTTTATGAAAGTGAAAGCATTTTTCGATTGTATAATTACATGCTGAATTGTATGTACGTTATATATTACGTGTCCATTATGTGTTCCAATTCTTTAAATCTACGTAAAATAGATAGAAATAGAAAAATAAAAAGTAATAAATTCGCCAAATTACCATTATGCTTTAAAATCTCATTTTAAGGACCATTTACGGAACGGCAATTTTTGTACCAATTTAAATTTGCATCTATTATAATACAGTATGTTCTAGTTTACTAACTCTGAATATCAAGAGTTAGAAACGGGTCAATAAATTTTTTACTTAGTAGGAACTTTAACTTCTCAACAAATTATCTTATATTTATTTGTGCACAGAGAATAATATTCGCAATACGAAATGTTAAATTGATGTTGTGTTGGATTAGTATTAGGATAAAAACGGGAGATATATTCTCTAGTGTAAATTAATATATGATACAATCTGGCAAAATTAAAAAATTATAATAGAAAGTGCAATATAGTATCAACCTTTTGTGAGTAAGATTTCTCACTAGTATTATTATCGATATTTTGCTTCACATCAAACCATAAATATAAAATTTTTTATCTTCAACAAGGGGTCACGTTAAAATAAATAACCACTTTTTGGACCGAGTCCTTCGCTTTACATCTTATTTATCTACTAAAATTTGTTCTGAACATTCTAATATAGTGCGTTGCAAAAAAAAAAAAAAAAAAGCTTAAATTGCTCTAATTTTATAACGAGCAGACCAATTAAAGATATCACATAACATTTTAAAGCTTGAAAGCAGTAGATTCTATTAATGTAAAATTAATATGATACGTCTTCACTACTTTTTGTAATAATTCCCCTACAGTGTTGTTTCCGTTAAACGTATTAAAGTATACAGTCTTAAGTGGAATCCTTGTCTGTGAGAAGCATCACATGTTTTCTGCTTTGGAAATTCTCTTGCCATTTTGTAATGAATAACTGTCTGGCAAATGATTAAATCTATAATTACATAAAATAAATAACACTAAAAACAAGCTTTTGTTTTTATTTTAGATGACCCAAAAAGGTTCAAAATTAGAAAAGTTACTTATACTCAAACCATAAAGAATGATGTGAATTGTCTTTTCTTTGCACACCGCTGTAATTGATACAAAATTTTATGTTGAAATACGTGAAGAGTATCTTCAAGAAATTACCAGTACTTGGGAATGATTAATGCGCTCCGGCAAGGTAATAAACCACAAGCGCCTTACCAAAGACAAATGGTCCAAATTAAAATTATGGAAATTGTCAAAGGAATTATGGATATTAAATACCGTATTGCACTGGTTATAGTACCCCCTTGTTTAGTATCGGGTCTTATACCAGTCCATTCTATTAGCAATCGGTCCATTCATAGAATTAATATTGCTATAATTCTCTTATGAAAAATCTATTTATTTCAAAACATTGATGCTAAGACTAGTTTCTGAACACATCTATTAATCATCCCAATTGTTGACAAGATCTATCGTATTTGCATAGGTATAATCATTTTTCAATATCTCTAACATCATGTACCATCTTCAACATATGAGTTATCAACTGCATCTGCTTCTTTCTCTATAATTATAAACTCACTGCTGTCGTTACTGGTACTGTGCATAATCAAAGATTAAATCATCTTCACTTCCGTCTCTCTTATTTAATATCCCGAAACTTTTGAAGAAATTTTTTATCATATTAAACATATTGTGAAGAGAATGCTAAAAGTATACAAGTTTCTTTTTAAATTAATTCCCTAACGTACCACCCGGTAAAGTACCCCGAGTACTAGAACCAGTGCGATACGATAAATTAATTTTATTAACAATTGAAAATAATGGAGAAGTTCCTTTATTTTGTTTATAATTGTAAA